TAGATAAAAACACATTTCAATCTTAATAATTCATTATTTTTCTTATTTTCTTATAAATTCAAAGTTCTCAAATATTTAAACATTCATATTAATTTTTTTTAAATTAATTCATGTAATACATGAGTCTTACAACTAATATATATATATATATATATATATATATATATATATATATATATATATACACACACACACACACACGAGAGAATGATGTGGTTCACAAATTAGTATAATCATGCAACATCCACAGACATGCGGATGTACAGATAGATTTATTATTGATCTTGTACAAGTTCACACAATATTGGATGATAACATAATATCATCCTTTGTGTGATATTTATATTCTCACCATTCATATTTTTCCATGTAGGACACTTTTGACTCACCACAAGCAATCAGTCTCCACAATTCAACATATACATGCTTTCGTGAGACTAGAAATATAATATCAAATATTATTGACAATTTAGAGAAACTGATGATTGTTTTGGTAACTTAAAATCAAACTTGTTTGAATATGTCAAACTAAACTAAACTAAACGGCGTGGACTCAAAATGAAAAATCGGCCTTTTTACTAGTAATGTCGATAAGATAAGTTGTGACAATTAATCATGTTGGATTAGGTTTCGAGTTAAGATGTTTAATTAAACGATTTAAAAATCTCAACTCACCTAACCTGCTTAAATAATTGATTTGATACTTTGCAACTCAACACGGCTTGTCAAATTGCAAACAAAACGCAGGTGACATGCCACTTTACCACTTAATCAAAAACTGTGAAATAATACAAACAAATCAATATCTGAATCTATAATGTTTTGGGACCCACAAAATTGTTTTCTTAGACGAAGAACATTAACTAGATAACTTGAAGGATAACTACAAACACAATATCTGAATCTATACCACCGATATATAACATAGACTAAAAAAATTCAGCCCTTGTGAAGGATGGGCCACGGACCTGGTTATAAGTTATAACCCAATCCATTTAATTAAACAGACTATCTCATTTAATAAAATAATATCAAAATGTCGGTTTAATCCATTTTTTTTTTCTGTTGTGTTAGATTCGAATTGAATTGATATATTGGGTCGTTTTTTGTGAGCTTCGATATTTTATAGGGGGGATAACATGTTCAGTAGTCCCTTTAGTAGTTTAATATTGAGTATTTAAATTCTTTAATATAAAAATATAAATTAGAAACTAATCGTAAAAGCATAGCAGACAAACCCAATTTTGATTGTTAAAACAGCCGGCGGTATTCAGAACAGCGGCTACATTCAGAGTCGCCACCACCGCATTCCTGTTATATATGTAATCATCTTCCTACAAATTTATTCGATTGCTGACTGTTTGAATCGTTGATGCTTTTGTCTGTGAATTGAAGGTTTTTGTTTGTTTGACCAGAGAATCAAAGAGTGAAAAAAATGGGAATTCCTACGGATATGAGAGATGCCTGGGTAAGCCACAGGAAGAAATCGTCAAGTTTTATGATTCCATCTCCAGAAGAAGATCTCAAGTTTCTGAGATCCAAAATGTGTACTCAAGGTGAAGCGAATTTTCATTCCTTTCTATGTGTGTTAGATTTGAAATTCATGTCGTTTGTTTATCTTGGGGGTAGGTTAGAGAAGGAATGCGATCCTTCAAACGTTTTTAGAACGTGTTCCTTCTTATCAACTGGATTTATATGCCCGCTTGCCCCATGATTCTTTCGTTAGGGTTCATTCGTTAGGGGACGAGGGGTTAATTTTGTGGTTGAAGAATGAAATTGAAAGTGATTCCATTTTCCTGAAATGATCATCGTTTAATTGTTAGATGATGCGAATAATTCTCGCTTCAAAATGCTTACATTTAGCTCATCCCTATCACTTTATGTAGCACTTGCATCATCAATGTTTCTTGAAACATTCCAAACAGCCAATTTCTGCCATGTTTAAAAGGCATGAAGCACAAACATCCTATATATCTGACGCTTCTCCTAAAATATGATTTTAACCATTAATTACATGATTTGCAGAAGGGGTTCGTGAAGGAATGAAGTCAGCTTCAATTGCATGTGTTGCAAGTGCAATCCCTACGGTTGGTAGCTTCATATTTTTATGCTTTCACTTAAACCTTTGCATCTTAAAATCCTTTCTATAAGATACATTGCAACAAGGGAACACCAGATTTAGCTTTGAATTTGATGGCTAAGATGTTATCTTGTTATATTAAAAGCCACTGAAATATTTGTAAATTTCAGTTAATTGCTGTGCGTACAATCCCCTGGGCAAAAGCAAACCTAAATTATACTGCTCAAGCACTCATTATATCTGCTGGTATGCTCCAAAATTTTAACTTTTCAACTGATTTTAGATAGATATGATGATATGCTTTTACAAAAAGATTCTTGTAGATTTGATTTGATTGTTTTTTTTTTTTGTTGAAACAGCATCCATTGCTGCATACTTTATCACTGCTGACAAAACTATACTGGAGTGTGCAAGGAAAAACACACGCACCCTTTATGATAAGTCCGCTTAACAGTTTACAATTAATCAAATTGTGATTATGATATCTGGCTTCTCAGTGTTGTTTGTATCGAGTTTAAGCCTCACAGGTGGGCCCCGAAGTTTATGCTTTCAGGTCTCCATTTTCTCTACCAGTGAGATAGATGCATAATTATTAAAAAAAAAAAAGGAAAAATAATATGTTTTTATGCGTTGATCTTTAGTGGCTGTATATGGATATAATTTGCTTAATAATTCCTGTCTTGCATTGTTGACTGGACCTTTTTCCTTTTCGCTTGATTTGGCCTATAAAAGCTGAAACGATTTTCATTTGAAAACGTTGTATATTAGTTGCTGTTGTTTTTCTGGTCAAAATTTCAAGCTAAAGTTGGTTTTAAGTATAGTGAGGCTTAACAACTGTCATATCATATTTCCTTTAGTTTATGCAAATGTGCAAACTCGTAATGTAGCAGAACTGAACTCAACTTATCATGAGTTAATCGTGATTAAAACTAAGGGACTGTTTGATAGTTACTGTCTGAGTTAGATCTGACTGAGTCAGGGCTTGATTGGGTCTAAAGCTGACTGAACCTGTTTCTGATTGAAATCATGTTGTTTGATTACAACTCTGACTGGTTGTGCTGAATGTTGAAAATGACCATTTTACCCTTCTTTTCTCCAATATAAAATAAACAAAATTTAACAATCTACACTATACCATTTTGTAAATTAGCAACCTGAAAGCAAAGGGGACACAAAAGACTTGTTTGGTAATTTCCCATTAAATTTTGTTCCAATATTATCGAGTTAAATAATAAAAACCATAAGAATCACATATAGTTCAAATGTTTCATACTTACGACTTTAGCATACATACATATCATTATATGATTGACTTTAACATACATGATTTCTCCTTCATACATAACATCATATGATTGAGGGGAAAAAACAACAGGGAAAAAACATATCGAGGGGCAAAACCTTCAGCAACAATGGTGTTGAAACCAACACCCTTTTCATGCTAGAACAACTATTGCCCTCCCGTAACAAGGACTGAACCCCAACATACCAGTCCCTAAATTGAACTCCAAAATATGATGTTCCAATTGATACTTTCCTAAAACCACTAAAACTGAACCACTCATATTCAATAGATCAAAGGTGTCAAAAAATACCCCAAAGTAAAATTAATAAACTCTACAATTATTCAATTTCAGCAAATGAATGAAACTATAGCTTAAATTCGAGCCTTAGATGCAAATGAGGTCCACTCCAGAATTCAAAATTGTAATAAGAAAAGGCATAAGATCATACATTTGATTGCTCGGTTAAGTAATCAACAGTTTGATTGCATTAGGAGAGGCAGAGATCGGCAGGAGTAATGTGCATCAGGGTGGCGGAGATCGGCGATGCTGCTTGCGGCGGTGGCTCTGAGGCATCGGCCGCGAAAGTGTCCAGCGGGATGGACCTTTTGAAAGAGGAAGAGTCCTTGATGGTGCTATGTGGAAGGCGTTGTGTTGAAGGCGTTAGGAGGAGATGTTTTTTTTATCAGCGCACGAATGTCTTTCTTCCATCGTTTACTCGGTCAGCTTCTATTTTCTACAGGACCGAGTCGGATCAATTTTATGGATTGGACCGGGTCAGACATCGATTCTACACAAATCAAACATACTGACCGGACCGAGTCAGACAAAAATGTCTGACCGGACTAGGTCAGCACCAAATCCAACAGGCCCTAAACCGATTCATGTCACTAAAATTCCCAAACATATAATATAATCACTCTCTAATATCAAAGCTCTAATCCATCCATATAATTACCCATTATCTCCACCCAACCAATCTATCTAATATAATACATTCATCTAACCCACAAAATTGATCCATTCATATCCAATTCAATCCAATTCATCCATCCACCGAGCCATACGATTATATGATCAATCAATCAAACACATGCAACATATTTTGGTCTATCTACCTAATCCATTCACTAATCTATCCATGTTACCATGTAATTCTTTTATTTGATCCACCCATCTATTTCGTGTAAATAAACTATTGAATACATCCTTCTAATCAATCCAATGAATCGGTCAACCAATTTGTATTGTTTGAAATAACAAAATTTGAAATATGAAAACCGATAGAAAATCCACATCCAAATACGTTTTCTACTTTTCTAAAATGGAAAATGGAAATCCAATCAATTTTAACCAAATGCGTTTTATAAAAATTTTACGGAAAGCAAAAACTTCACTCCTTTTTCTAAAGAGTTAAAAAAAAATGATAACAACTTTCCATAGCCAAACACACCCTTAGGATATGAATTCCATTGGAAGTGAATGGTTTAGTTCACTTATGGTTGACTTGACCAATGGTATGATGCGTGAACTCTTTGTTACACTTGGGATATCAAACACACCCTCTAATAAATATAGCATGTTTTAACATATGCATGTAGGGGGAACATAGACATCAAGCCATCAACATACAAGAATTCAAAATCCAAAAAAAAAAAATGTTATTAAAGTATTACAATCAATTAGAGTACTCCCTTGCTATACAATGAGATAATTTGAATCTTGTGTCAACCTATAACAACAAGGTCTCATGGACCAATGACATTAATTTTCCTTCTTTGTTTCTTTTCTCTCATTATCACTAGCCTTTCTCTTTCCTTTTACTAGTATCTACCCATCTATGTACAATAATTCCAACATGGAAGAAAAACAAAAAACAAAAAACAAAAAGTATACCGAGTTTTCGAGTCTTTGAGCTGAAAATGTTATGTGTGGTTTAAACTTTAAAATGCATACCTATAGATAGCATCAGCAACTCCATCTTCATCATTACTAACACCAATCACATCAGCAACAGCTTTTGTCTTCTCAGATCCATTACTCATACAAACCCCTAAAGAAGCCAATTGCATCATCTCAACATCGTTTTCTCCATCACCAATAGCCATTATCTGATCATCAACAAAGACTCAAACTAAAATCATTTATATTGATTAAAATAAATGATGATACAATGAATATGATCAATGATAGTACTTTCATGACACACACACACACCTACCTCGTCTGCAGTAACACCAAGATGATCAAGCAGCATTTTTACTCCATTACCCTTTGAAGTGTCAGGTGGCACAATTTCAAGCATGTCTGCTTGTGCTTGAACAACAGATGCACGACCTTTTGTTGCTTCTGACCAATATGGCCTCAGTTTCCCAGAAACCCCTTCAGCAGTGTCTAGAAATAACACCTTTTGCACATCTCCACTACTTAACAGCTCCTCCACTGAAGGCTTAACTTCTGCCTGTTAAAAAAAAAAGGTGTCAAATCATGTAGTCCATGTTATCCGGTTAAATGAAAGAAATTAAATAATGACGAAAGTACCCTTGGTTCATGATATATGGTGTGGAGGGAGTCCACAAGAGGATGACTGAATAAGGTCAGCAAACGATTCTCACAAAATGCGACAAGTGGAACATTGTGTTCTACAGAGTAATCAAATGCTTCTTTGCAAACATTTGGATCCAAATTTGTTTTGTGAATTTCCTTGCCTTCGTTTCCATAAACAAGCAAACCCTGATAATAGAGTAAGAAGAAAACATTTCTTATATATGATAAGTTGTACTCAAAGTTAATGAACTATATAATTATTATTATTATTATTATTATATCAAAGTGACACTTGAAAATTAATTAATGTGAGTAGCTAGGCAACCTGTATGAAAACACCTGGTGAGGAATCTGAGACAATTCCATCTTTTCCTGCTAAATCCACCATATTTAAAAGAGTTATAGCAGCTGGACGAGTCTGTTTGCAAAAAAGATTACATGCAAAATAATGAGAAATTTGAAACAAATACTTTAACAATTTTACAACAAAAGCCCGTTTTTTTCTTACTTTTCCAGTGGCTAACACCACTTTTACACCCGTTGATGAAGCCTCTCTTAAAGCCTCAGCATTTGTAGCAGAAACTAGACTTTTGCTATTCAGAAGTGTACCTTATGTGTATATCCATAACAATACATGACAAACAATGAAATTATATGCAAAGAAGATGAAAGAAAGAAACATTTGAAATCAATCTCACCATCCATATCACAGAAGATATAGCTGAATTTTGGCTTGTAGTTTTTAAGACTTCCTGCTTCCTTCCTTCCTTCCTTTTGACAATTCAAATGTTAAGTAAGCCATTACTCTTAACAAAAGTTACTTTATGTGTGTTGTCGATTATATGATAATCGGTAACTTTGATATCTTGATAGATTATAATATTGGAAACTTTATGTAAGTTATATCTCAACCCTACGAATGCTTAACCTTAGAAAAAAAAAAAAAAGAACTTAGAAGCAAATGACACTAAAATCGTGCATATGTTTGTTTTTAAATACTAATGATATATCGATGAATTCTCCCTCCAAAAATGGATGATGATGATGAAGGGTGGTTAGGCGCCAAAAGCATACCAACAATAGAGAATTCATCCGCATGCATGCTTAAATCTGAAAAATGTGGATAATTGTTTAATCAAGAAAGAAAATCTAAGAATAAAATACCATGTTCTTGGATCAGGTTGTAGATGCCCTCTTCTGTATCGATCCTTTAAATTTCGGTTTTGATCCAAGACGTTCCTCCTCTTCCTCCATTTTTGGGTCGGCCTCTTCAGGAGAATATGAGTTATAACTAGAAGAGAGCCGTGATTTGAGGAGAACCCATTTACGTACATTACAACCACTTTAATTAACGTTGTATTGTCCCCTTAACCTTCGCATTAATTATTCTTCATCTCCGCTAATTCTAATTATCCCTCCTTCCCTCTGTTTTGGAGAATCGTATCGTATTATTATATAAATCACATCGTGCAAAATTGCAAATGCAATTAAGTGTTCTTTAACCTGTCAAATTTCTTCTTATATATTGTAAAAAACATATATGTTCGTAATTTTTCTTTTCTTTATATTAAATGGAGACCATCTTGACACATTTCAGTATAAAATATCAAAACTCATAATGATTCCGTTTTTTTAATATTATATGTGTTCTTTTCTCTAAATAAAATTGCAAATTTTTAGTTAAGATATCATATAATTATTCAGCTAATTCCTTACTATTCAGTTTTTTCACTTCTTCTACATATGTTTTTTTTTTTTTTTGTTAAATAAATATTTTTGGATAAAATCCATGCGGTTTTTTATGATTCAGTTAAACACAGTTGAAACGATTGACATTTGTTACTAAAAGACAGCAAAATCATAATTAGAAACAATTATCAATGATTCCATAACACTAAATCGTCTATACAATAGTCATTTGTTTTTCCAAATCATCGGCAAATATATAGTTTTTAGCAACTTCATTGAGATTGGGTAAGACTCTTAGCATAATTGGTGATGAAATGAAAGAAATGTAAAACAAGGAGGTTGTAGGTGATTAATTAAGTCCTCTTTTGTGAAATTTTGAATCGATCAGCCCAAATGCCCAATCAAAGTTACGATACAAGAGTTATATTCGTTATATTCTGAATCAACTTAATCGGACTTTGCATGTTAAAGTTATGGTCGGTACTAGTGAAAAAAAAGAAAGGTTATGAATTTTGTTGTATTTAGTTTTTTTCTAATAAAGAAAGAATGGTTTTTTTTTTTTACAAAATAAGTTTTGTTGGGAAAAAAATAATCAACAAACCATTAGATGACATGTGGCTGAATCAAATTGTACTTGTTTAAAGGAATTGTGACGATCATACCTCTATGAAAATTTGAAAACGAATGCCTGCATTATTTGTCACAGAAATTTGGTTTCTCATATGACCCATAGAAAAAGTTTGATTTTTTATACATAAGCACTCGTGTTGATGGATGAAGATGATATACAATCGATTACTATAAGCCCTCAATTAGCATAACAACATAATGAATATAAGCTAACCCTACATAAAATAGATGATTTTTTTTTTTTTTTGAAATTATATTACTATATTTGTTATAATATCTTATGTACTTTAGTTGTATTCATGATCATGAATATGAATGAATATATATTGATTAAAAAAAAAAAAGCACATTAATATACTTGTGTCAACCTATAACAATGTCTCATGGACCAATGACAGTTTAGCCCTGTTTGTTTCTTTATCATTTTCCTATTTCCTAGCCAAAAAAATATAGGAATCCCAAAGAATACAGTTTTTTCTTCAAGTCTTTTTAAGCTCAAATGTATTTTCTTTGAGCTCTTAAAATGCATACCTATAGATAGCATCAGCAACACCATCTTCATCATTACTAACACCAATCACATCAGCAACAGTTTTTGTCTTCTCAGATCCATTACTCATACAAACCCCTAAAGAAGCCAACTCAATCATCTCCACATCATTCTCCCCATCACCAATCGCCATCACCTCATCTGCCCCAACACCAAAATGGTCAAGCAGCATGCGGACCCCACTCCCCTTCGAAGTGCCAGCTGGCACTATCTCAAGCATATCTGGCTGTGCTTGAACAACAGATGCACGACCTTTTATCGCTTCTGACCAATATGGCCTCAGTCTTCCAGACACCCCTTCAGCAGTGTCCAAAAACAACACCTTCTGCACATCACCACTGCTTAACAGATCCTCCACCGAACCCATAACTTCTGCCTGGAAAAACTTTATGTTAAAAAAAGAATAATAATTATTAAAAAAATGTAATGACGAAAGTACCCTTGGCTCATGGTATATCGTGTGAAGGGAGTCCACAAGTGGATGACTGAATAAGGTCAAGCAACGATTCTCACTGAATGCAATAAGTGGAACATTGTGTTCTACTGAGTAATCAAATGCCTGTAATATTAACATTATATTATTAAGCATCCAAATTCAGGATAAATTATAATTACAGAAATACATACCTCTTTGCAAACATGTGGATCCAAATTTCTTCTGTGAATTTCGCGTCCTTGTTTGCCATAAACAAGCAAACCCTAACAGGATTAAGAATAAATCATGATTTTATAAACAATAAATAGATATAAATAAATATAATACCTGAATGAAAACACCTGGTGAATACTCTGAGGCAATTCCATCTCTACCTGCTAAATCCACCATCTTCAAAAGAGCTATAGCAGCTGGACGAGTCTATTTCCAAATATAACATAAAAAAAAGGTGAGAAATTCCAAACAAATAATAATAATAATAATAATAATAAATCCTAAATTTTCTTACTTTTCCGGTGGCTATAACAACTTTTACACCTCTCGATGAAGCCTCTCTTAAAGCCTCAGCATTTGTAGCAGAAATTTGACTTTTGCTATTCAGCAGTGTACCTTTATAACAATTTGTTGGAATGTAAGGGTAAAATAGTCATTTAGTTAACATTTGAAGTAAATCTCACCATCCATGTCGCAGAAGATATAGCTGAATTTTGGCTTGTAGAATCGAAGACTGCCAGCTTTCTTTCTTCCTTTTGACAATCCAAATGTAAAGCCAGTTAGTTACAAATATAAAAAATCTACACATAATGATTTAAGTAAATAAAAAATATGTAAGAGTAAAATACCATCAGAAATCTTTGGTAAAAGGGTTTCATCAGATTCAATAGAAGATGCACTTTGTATCAATCCTTTTCCTTTCCATCCAAGACTCTTCAAAAGACGTTCTTCCTCCCCCTCCATTTCTGCTTCAGCTTCTTCACTAAGCTCATGATCAAATCCCATAAGATGCAACAATCCATGGACCTATAAAGTATGAAAGAATACATTATAATAAAATTTATGTTTGAATTCTTTTCAAGAAAAGGTACAAACCATAAGAACACGAATCTCATCAAGAAGAGTGTGCCCTCTTTCCTCTGCTTGTCTTGCTGCTGTTTCCACTGAAATGATTATGTCACCCAACATTAGCTGCAACATAGAAAACAAATGTCAAAAACTAAATCACTGATTACTCAAAAGTAAATTTCAAGAGGGGCAATTCAGACCATTGGAAGCTTGAGTTCAGGGACATGTTGAGACATGGAGAGAACATCAGTAGCATGGTCTTCGTTCCTCCAATCTTTATTAAGCTCACGGATGAACTCATCATTGCATAGAAGTATTGATAACTCAACACTCTCAAATTGGCCAACATCATCAACAGAAGAATCTCTTGTTTTGTGATCTGAATCTTTTAAACCATCAAATGCTAGTTTCATTGCCATTGGAGCATTTAGACGAAGCATTTCTGCAATATCCTGCCAATTTTAGAAAAGAAGAGTGTTTAAATCAAGAAACATATCTCCATTCTGCCAAATGTAGAAAGAAGATCAGCTAGCTAAACTTCATAGGCAGTCATCAGTGCAACAGGGAAAAACAAATGTTGCAGTGTAGAGGGTGAGAGTGCCTTTCAAGTGATGAAGCCCTAATATATTGCAGTTTATTAGATGAAAAAACTGATTAAGAGTTACAAACTGAATTGAAATTATAGGCATCTAAGACAATCACAACTATAGCACTCCTGAATCTTCAAGTTTCAGGTGATTCCTAGCAAAGAAGCTACAAGTGGTAAGTCTAGTAAGTATGCACAGAGTTTGTCACATTGGTGAAATTGATTCTCAATTGTTGTTAGTTTATGAGTTTGGAACAGTTTAGGTCATTTTGTTCTCATGTACAAGTTTGTACTGTAACATTCAGTTGTTTAGAAGCTCCTGGAAAAACATTACACATCTTTGGTCTGCAACTGCATTATACTCATGTTCATCAATAGACTTCTCTCAATCAGGATGTAACTGTTCAATCCATTGCATGAAGAAGTAATTGTACATTAATGAGTAATGAGTAATGACACAAGAGAAACGGAAGAGGGAGTACAAACCAGAATTTCAGAATCATCGGGCAATTGTTCTTCGATACCAATTCTAACATCGAGCTCCAACTCCTTCCCCTTGTTCTTCTTCCTGGCCGACGGGCGACCCCGCACCTTCCTGTACCCACGCTGCGACGCCAGTACTTTCCCTCCCAACCTTCTCGAAAGAATCCAATCTCCATCTCTGCGACGTTGAGCACCGAATAAACCACCAAACAATGGAGAAGAAGAAGAAGTCGAATACGAAAGATTAGAGCGACAATGAGAGACCAATGAAGGTAACGATGGGAGTTTGGATGGGGCCGTGAGTGAGTGTGTGGAGAGGCTTCGGAAGATGAAACCGGCCGCCGCCATGGAGGAGACGTCTAAAGAAGAATGAAGGTTGCGGAGGAGGATAGGAGGGAAGCGAGACCTCATTCGGGCCGGAGACGGCGACTGAAAGTGATGTTTAGCAGTATATTCCCCCACAATTCGCCGGGGCGAAGAAAACCGGAAACAAGTTAAAAGTTAAAACCGAAAAACTAAACCGGCTAATAACTCAAACCCGGTTTACCCTAGTTCTAAAATCTAAATCCGAATACACATTATTGTATCTTACTTGATTTGAAAAACTTTAATAGGTCTTTATGTTTGATAAAACTAGATTATCTAATGTACAAGCCTACAAGGAATCTACCATCTTAATAATTCGGAAAGGAAATTGTTCGTTAATTAGTTAACGGTTTTTCATTTGTTTAAAGATGCTTATGTGACCAATTCAAATAGTCTTTAAATTTAAAAGAAAAAAAAATAGTGAGAAAATTGATTGAAATCGAATATAGTTCAATACATAGTGATGGAAGGAAAACGGACAATAAGTTGTGTTGCTAGTCCTTTCTGGATGACAAAAG